CAAATGATGAAGGCCGGACAGCACTGTGCTCGGTTCTCCGGAGGCCGCCTGGTGGCAGGCAGTGCTGGCATCTCTTCATGAGGCATTGCTGTCTGCACAGCCTCTGGGAGAGGGTGTGGCAGTTACATAATCTGTTAACTTGAGAAGGGGTGGAGTCTAGCCTCAATCAGGCCATAGCCAATGAGGCCTCCCTGTGGGTATGGTCTTCTCCTGAGGATTCTGGGAGCTCCTATCTTCCTCCCTGGAGGCGGGACACACAGACTCTCTGCTTCTTCTCCCTGCAAGACATTCCTGTTGCCAAGCCAAATGGCGCTACATTGATGCAGCCAGAGCCCTGGAGCTGGAGGAGCCATGTGGAGACCCACACCAGCGCTGAGATGCTCCCACCGCCACTGGATCCACAAGACTTTTCAGCCGCTGGCCGGTGATCTTCCTGCATTCAGCATCATTGCATGTGTTGCATGAGTCTGAAGAGGAATTTATAGACTAGTATTGGACATTAGTCTTATGGACTTGATATCTGGACTGGGCTGTTTTCTCAATATACAATTGCTCTTTTTTATAAAGCTCTTTCTTATACACATGAGTGTCTATGGATTTGTTTCTTTAGTCCGCTCAGACTAACAGAGGGTCAGGCTGCTCATCTGTGGTGGCACTGCCTGCTTTCTGTGCTGAGCTTGCAGGGTTACTTGTGCTCCTGCACCCACTGGGCCACATCGTCTCTCTGCTGGCGGCACTGTGCTCAGAGCCCAAGTCCTGGGCTCCTGCTGCTGCCAGGCCCACAGCACAGCTGCGCCCGAGGGCCCCTGCTCACTCTGACGCTGTGAGGCTCATGGCTGGTGTGGAGGCCGTGGTCCACTCAGGGTTGATTTTGCGGTGATGTAGGCTCTGTGGCTTGATTCGCTTTCATGAGATGTCCTTCACCCGTCGGCGAGTGGAGGACAGCTCAGAAACACCAGGTAAGGTGGAGCTGAGGCCCCAGGGGTACCTGAACGCTGTCCCTCGCAGCACCCAACCTGAGATGATCACAGGCCTGGTGGCCCACCCAGGGGCGTGTGAAACCTTGGAGACTGAGGTGGCAGGGCAAGGATGACAGATGGAGCCCAGGGCGCTTCTGGGGCTGGACAGTGATGCTTCAGGACACCATGCATGGGGTGCAGTTGGTGAGAAACCACAGGGCCCTGCTGTGCTCCAGCCTGGACAATGTCCTCTGCCCTCCTGGGCCACACTGCCAGCTGCCCAAGCCCGGGCCAAGGACGCTGTTCATCATGTGGCCACAGCGGCCATCTGTGTGTTTATGATGTCACTTAATACTTTTAATGAGGCTCATGGCCATTGCTCTGTTGCCATAACAACTGTCTGTTCTCTGCGTCCGGATGCTGGGCCCTCTCTTATGATTTCCGGGAGACACAGGCTGGTGGGGGAGGCTGGCCCTGCGGGGGCCTGGGGCGGGCTCCACAGACTGCCTGTTTTTTTCCCCATGGACAAACCCGTGTCCTCTGCTCACGCCCAGCTGGAGCAGAGGCCCATTTGGGCTGCCAAGGGGAGGCACTGTCACCTGAGGGTCTCAGTGCCGCCGCTGGAGCTGCCCCACCCCTCCTTCCTGACCCCACCCTACCCCCATCCCCACTACTCCTGGCACGTTTCAGGGTTAGGGTTCAGGCACTTGTCCCTGGTGCAGTCTCTCCCTCCACAGCTGGGCACAGAGAGGTCTTGGTACAAATGTGTTGGGCAATAGGTGGATGGTTAGAAGGATGGGCAGTTGGGGGATGGACAATTAATTGAGTGGATGGTCAGGTGCCCTCAGGAATAGGCCTCTTTATCTGTCCTGACCAGCATGTCAGGCCCCCTATCTGGTGGACTTGGGAGTTTCCACACTCCCAGCATCCACCAAGAACTGCGTGTCCCTTCTGCTCATGCACTGTCCTCGGCAGACCTCAACTTCCTTTGGGCCTTTGCAGGTCCCCCAGCCCAAACCAACCACCTGTATGGTCTCCTATGGCATGGACACTGGTGACCACAGACTGGCCTCTCCCCTGGTTTCCATCTGGATGTCAGTATCACAGGCCCCAAGCTGCTGTCAGGAGAGAGCCTGGCCCTCCCTAGCTCCGCCCCCGTGGACTTCAGGAGAAGGGTGCCAGGAGTCTGGGGAGGAGCCCACTGGATGGGTAGGGAACATCAGGGTAAGGGTCTGCTTTTGTGACCAAGCTTGGAGTGAAGGCCGGTGTGGTGTGGGGCGAGCCCCGCATTCACTGTCCCGCCTGTCCCCCTGTGCCCTCTGGGAGGAGATATTGAACGCTGTCTTGTGAACAGGCCCAGGCCACAGACTCCTCTGCCCCTCTGCTGGGTGCTGAGGCACCGTCCTGTCCCCAGCATACTCACTGCCCGGCACAGGATCGGGTACTTGGTGCGGTTGATCCCGCCGGCGAAGGCGGAGACGGTTAGCGCCACGTGGAAGCAGAGGTTCAGCAGCGTGTGGCGGCCTTTCCTGCTGATGCGGATGGCGCTGCGGGGAAGGGACACGGGCTGTGGGCCCTGTACTCGGGGATGCATGACCCCCACCCCCACCCGCCCAGGGTGTGTTCTGCTCTGGGTGATGGGAGCAGGTGGGCCTGGAGGGGTGCAGAAGGAGACACAGGGCACACTGGGCCCCCCTGTGACCCCCCTTGGCGGCTGTCTGCCTCAGGGCCCCTCCCTGGCATGAGGAGCCCCAAGTCTAAGCCCAGAGCTCCCTGCCACTGACATCATGGGGTCGGGTCACCCTGCAGAGGGGTCCAGGTCCAGGCCCATGCTCAAGCCTCCCTCTCTGAGCAGCTGTCTTACACCAGGAAGACCCAGCCACAGAGGCTATGACTATGGCGGGGACAGGACAAACACTGCTGTGCCGCGCCTTCTCAACACCGTGACCCTGTCCAGGCTCC